CAGCAAACGGCTACTCAATCTATTTTATACAAATCTGTCCAAGATGAAGATTGGAAGATGACCCTCTGAAGACTATCCAACGGCTAGTTTGGAAGTGGAGGAGTATAAAAGGAGATCAACGAGGAGCAGAATGAACAAGAACGAAATCGAGAATCAACAAGTCCAAAGTTTGAGCACACTCCGATCCTTTCTCTTGTTTTTCTTGAGCAAAAGACTAAGATCTTGAGGGATACTTTATAAGAGTGATTGTGTGAGATAGAGAGTCCGATTAGACACAAGAGTGATGTTACTCAGAATTTGTAATTCCTCTTGATTACATAGTGAAATCCAGCCAGTAGGCTGTCAGCGTGGGAGAGTGGACGTAGGCTTGCTATAAGCCGAACTACTATAAACTTGTGTGCAGTTTTTCTATCTCTCATTTCTTGCTTTACATACTGCACACCAAGAGCATTGTCTATATAAACTGTTTTGAATCTGAATTTTATTTAGACTCTACTGTGATCAATCATTTCCGCTATAAATTGATCAAAATTGTTTAAAATCACCTATTTACCTCCCCTCTAAATGATCCTTGCTAGTTACATCATAGAGGACAATCGATGGTAAATGTTCCTCTCTAAAGCTTGGCCATCGCCTAGAGACATGATGAATCGTATTCAACATGTGTCAGATTAACAAGCTTAGACTTGGAGAGGACACCGACTACGTGTGTATACTATGTAGAAGACTCAAAACACCATTAAAAAGCATGTTGATCCAAAGACTGCTAGTTGTCTTATATAGTATACAATATAAACATAGAGGTGAATAAAAAAAGGTCTCTGAAAGAGTGGTACTTATCTGCTCTAGTTGTCTCATGTAGCACCTGAGTGCATGCATGTTACTCAAGTGAAACTTGTGACCCGTCTCGTGCAATGCGCGGAGTTTCACTGTTTTTCGTTGTGTGGCTGATCGAGGTTGCTTATTATCTTGCTTACAAGAATCCTGTATAAGAGTAGCCGATTCGTAGGCCGAAAGAGTTAGCACTTATCTGCTATCTTAAAGAGAGAGAATATACAAATGCTTTTAGTGAATGCTTTTAGTGAGAATGTTGTCTCAAGCTCAAAAGGCATTATTCAATCTAAACATAGAGGTGTAGAAAAAAAAAGTCTCTGAAAGAGTTGGCATTCATCTGCTATCTTAAGGAAAAAGTGTTGGTTGTCTTATATACGGAGATGGTGGAGGTTGCTATCTGTCTATCTACAAAAATTTTCTACAAAAGAAGCAAATCAACATCCATCAAAATCTAGATCTAAATATGGAAGCTTTTCTCTCTGATCTAAATTTAGATTTGGGAGGTTTTTAGAGGCGTTCGATCTGTGCTTGTTCAACATGCTGTTGTTTTTATCGTCTTTGTATGGCAATTATGTTGAGGATGCCAAACCTAGGCACAAACTACAAGCCGAAGTTTATAAAGGGGAAGATCACGGCTTGTGCCAATCATCATTGAAGGTTCCGGTGATCGGTTGCTGCTTGTTTTTTGATGTTGTGATAGATCTAGTCTTTTGGAATGAGAACATGCTTATAGCTGCAAGCTGTACTATTTTGCTTTATGGGTTTTCTTTTGTTTTGCACCTCTTTTAGGATTTTCTTTATTTGGAAACTTTCTATGTTTCTCTCATGTTGATTATGACAAATGAATGAAATTTTTTTTTGATACATCGATTGCATCAAAATAGGACCACATATCTCTTCGTTATGGGGCTGCTAACTCCATACTTTTTTTTAATATATGATGTATCCATTATTTGAGATATAGAGGGACCACATCGATTGTAGCTAAATAGGACCACATATCTTTTGTCATAATCGCAGAAATACAACTAGCCGCATGTCCAATGTCATTTTGTTGCTGATGAGTGGGGAGATATGCCAGTTAGACAAGTAATTTACAGGTTGGCAATTGCCCATACACTTCGACTTTGGGAAGATATTATTTCTACATACATTCACAATACACGAAATATCTCGACGGGATATTACCACAATAGGAAAAATACTAGACCTTCGGAGATCGGTATATAATTGGTTTACAAAGGTGACGCGTCGAGCTATTATCGGTTCTTGAACATGACACATTTGTTTAAAGAACCGGTCGCAATCTATACACCGGCCTAAGTATATCTTTATTAATCTGTTCGATATACGTCATTTCGCTAATAAAACAAGATGTGAATAGATTGATCACATGATGTATTAGAACAAGTATATCTTCACCGTATATGTTTTGCCAGATATCCCGTTAACATAATATTGTCTATGTATGATTATAAGAAGGAATCACACAAAACTCATCCAAACTTTGGTATCCCTTTCAACTTTCATTTTTGTTACGGCAACCATTAATCATCCGTTACATTTTTCGTTAGCATGTGCAATGCACATGACTGTTAAAGGTAAAAATGTATTTTCGTCTCATATTTTTAAGGAAAGTTCGGTGGTATTATGTGGCAATTAAAAGTACAGGGAAAAATGTGTACTACCCCAAAAATTTAGAGAGGTTTTGTATAACTGCTACTATAATTAGATTAGCTTGTGCAAGATTTTACTTCTTGTTGAGAGCTTCTCGATCAAGAGTCATACCTGAATACACCAAATCAATGTGGGAGAGTGAACCCTTCAGATCGCATGCATAGATGTACTACTCGAGGTACGCAAATAACTAGCCCAAACACCGCCCGACCGCTAGAGCAAATAAAATGTAATCTAATAAATAAAAAGGAACAAGATTAAGGCTATGGTCTTGTTTTGTTTATCATTATGCCTCCAAATTGGCCATCCTTTAGCTCGTTTTGGTCTCACTCCCATTTCTTTTATTTAGACTTTATAAAGATGGGTGCATATTATGAATAAGCTCTTGTTGTTCTGCCCTTATTGACTCCTGATACCCCTTATCACCTTAAATTGACCATATTGTCCAATGCTTTTGAAAGAATCACCTAGCTTATACGCAAATGTAAAGAGTAATGTTAAGCATATGAAAACTAAACCAATAAATTGCTATGCCGAATAACATAACAGATTGTAATGTTTCTTTAAACTACAGGGCCATAACCAATATCTAATAAAAGTCCGCCGTATCACTTAATATACTAACTTAATAGACATATCTTAATATGTCTAGCAATATCCTAATGTAACTTCGACTCACAAAAACCAAAAAGAAACTTTCGCTAACAAGTATACTTTTGTGAACTAAATAGTTTGCTGGGTGTCAGCACATCATTTTTTTTTTGGTTATGTCAGTTCGGGTCGTTACAAAATCGTTCAAACGTGATTACAAAGTATTTTTCATCAAAAATGGTTGACAACGTGTCGATTCTCGTTAGTTTCGAGCTAAGTCGAGGCTCGTCGAATTTGGATTTCGATCGGATAATTCATGTCGGGTTAAGATACTGGCCCAACATGAGAAGACTCGACGACTCCACATTGGCCGGACAACATAAAATGGGCCGAGGCCCTCGAGTCTAGGGCTCTGTTAATAATTTAAGGTCGGGTACTGTCGTCACCTGATTTACGTGAAAAAATTCAGCCCTACTACAAGAAAATTTAAGAGCATTGTTATCACAAGTTTACGACATTAATTTCACCAAATTTGCATATAATAATGTACCTATTTTTATTGCAATTTCTTATGAAATGTTCGTGTCAGATAATTGAATTTTGTCATTTTCTCGTGCTACCTAATGATAATTAAAAAATAAATGTACTATATCTATGTTAAGAATATATCGGGTATTCTCAATGTATATCGTACATTATACTATAAAAGAATGAGTATTTTTCCCTAAGTTCAAACAGAAATGAGTATCTTTAGTCTGATCCCTACCAAAGAAAAGAAGATATCCCCGGAGCGAGTGACTCAATGAAAGAAGGCCCAGGGCCCGCCCCCTTTGAGGTGGGTCTTCACTTATCTGATTTAGAGCGAAGAAAAGAATTTATAGGCGCTCGCTCGTTCCTATGATCGGTAAAAACCTACCCATCGAATCAATAGATCGCATGATCAATGCCCAAACTCTTGATAGAAAAGAGAGTGGAAGCCGCTTTAGTTGAGGATGGCGTCTCTCCCCTAAACATAATTTCCAAACGAAATGAAATCCGAGGGATTATGTTTTATCCTCGACGGGAGATTTTTTTTCTAAACACGTACCAGTACCGTGTGACTAGTCTAGAAGTATTGTCAAATTGAGATATTTAAAAAAGCCTATAATTATACTTCTTCTGTTTAGCATGAGTGAAGGGAGGTGGAAGTTATGAATCAAGTCAGAAGCAAGGAGTATGTTATCCTCAATACAGTTTGGCAGCATTATTGAAAGTCAAGTTCATACGTACGAGTATTTTACTAACAGAAGTCTTGGGCCACTAAAATTTTCACAATTTTTTTTTTTGTAAATCTTAAGAGTTTCGTAATCTAACACTTTCGTGTAATGGGAAGTATCCAAACCCTTTCGAAATATACGTATATGGACAAGTAAAATAACATATACTTTTTTCCGTAAAATATCGAATAATTAGAATATACATTTTAGCCTGTGAAAGAGGACAATTCGAGGGAACAGACAACCCCACTATTGCTTTTCAGAGCAAGCACAGCGAGCTGAAGCTCAGCTCCAGGAGCTAATCAAGCTCCTTGAGCAAAGAAAAAGGCATGAATCAAACTCCAAGACGAGTTAAATTATCAAGTCATGCCCGAGCCGGAGCCCTGCACAAATCATGAATATGCTCTACTAGTTTATACCACTTATTTTCAAGGACCGATATACCAACTAGGCATGCAGCCCTGCTGATAAAGAGATTGAGGGATGGGACCGGAGACTATCAGGTTCGAGGTTCGATCCCGTGAAACAGCATACACATGTACATAGTAGAGAGGAATGGGACCAAAAAAAAAAAAAACAGGACGCATATGACATGCGATTCAGCGATGGAATATGGTGCGAGTGACCCCTGAAAGAGAAGTGTTGAAACAATTTCATTATGATGCACCTGAGAAATGACCTCCATCAAGTGTCCCAAGGTCAAGATCCGGATAAATCAAGTACACAATAATCAGGGTATAATTATAGTAACATAGCTAGCTAGAACCACCACCGCAATGAAATCAAATTCACCACCCACGTATCGAGAAAGCCGAAAGCAACTGAAACGACCAAAATCTCCAAATGCCAGGATTCACCTCTCCGATAATCATAACAATCCGTGTGAAGTGTCTCCTCGTCAATCAGATGGTATGCAACGTGGGTAACCCATGGACCTCAATAAAACATCATCGATGCCAGAATCAGGAATAAGCTCGAGATCCCGCTCCAAGCTATTCTGCCGGCGTCGCTGTCGCCTCCAGGCGTCGCTGTAAACATTCATTCAACGTTCTGCTATTAGAAACCGAAACACTTACAATAACGATCGAGATGTCTCGATTGAAAGGAAACACAGAGTTCCGCAAAAGGGGGGATGCAAAATGCAAGTCTCTCTTGTTTCCCGAGTCTCTACAACATCAGTGACGCTTAGCCCTATGGTTGGTTTTTCTCCTCGAACGCAGTCACAAGATATACCCAATAGTTAACTTGTCTTTGAGGCAGAAGACGACGCTCGAAGGTTAGCAAGCAATACTGCTAGCTTCAAGGAATATAAGCGATTCTTCTGATCAACTTTCATGAATTTTGTCCCAATTCCACTGTCTGTCCGTCTTAACCTAAAGACAAACTTAGGATACGATAAACTATCTACATATAGAAGTAACAAGACATCAATCCCAGAGACAACCCAAAATTTAATGTGTAGACTAACCGAAGATAACCATAAACAACCCTGTTTAAATTTTTCTGCTTGTCATGAATCTGCTATTGCATATTCGATCATCCTCATAGATCTCATTCACGTGGACAGCTTTGCCAAGGAAAGTTATGGTATGAGACAGGCTTGGACAAAGGCCATGACTCCAATTATTTCCCCACTAAAGTAAGATTTCCACAATCAAAGCAAGTCGACATCGGTGGTCCCGAGAGCATCGGACACCCGCATTTTTTAAGGAAATTTCCAGCCTTATCGGGTTCTAGACAAAACTATCTTCCTCACTTAGATTTGATTCCCTGAACCAGCTCTGGAACTACTCTATCTGGAGGTTCAACAATGGCGGATCAAACATTCAATGCATAGAGGCACGGCAGTTCAGGTTCCGAATTGGAAACCAAAGTTGAAAAGAAGAACAGTACTGCAGCACCAAAATTGCTGCTTTTCAACGACCCAGAAACGAAAACGGAATCGAATTTCTTACCTGGTGGCGTTGTCGATGACGACGGAGGCGTAGCGGTCGCTGCCAATCAAGAGATTCTCGTGTTAGAAAACCTTGTTCGACATCAATTTTTGTTACTGGAACTCAAAAGGAAGAACGGGTCGCAGAAAAGCAAAGTTCGATTCAGTTTCCAAAACGGGCCAAATCCCAGTTCCGAATGTTAAAGATCGGCTCATGGAAATCGCCATTCGATCTCGTCAAAGAGAACGCTCTTCCGAATCGCAGACGAATTCGCTCCTCCCTTCCCCCTGCAAAGATTTCACGAGAGAGAGAGAGAGAGAGAGAGAGCGAGTAGGGCGATCGCTTACCGTTGCAGGAGCTGGTGTCGGTGGGGACGCCGCATTCCTTGGTGAGCTGGAGAGCCTGGGTGACGTTGATCCCGAGGGAGGCGAGCAGGCCGGGGGTGGTGTAGAGGGTGCAGAGGCAGGCGCGGTCGTTCTTCACCGTCTCCCGGATGGGGTTGCAGCAGGTGTCCGGCGGGGGGCTCGTCGAGTTCAGGTAGTTGGCGCAGGGCACGAGCTTCGACGCGCACGTCTGCGTCGCCGGCGTCTGGGCCCCCGCGAGGACGGCGGACCCGGCGGCGACCAGCAGCGCCGCCGCCGCGACCAGGAGGAGGACAGGCGTCCGGCGAGAAGTGGAGGCCATGTTTCTCTCTCTCTCTCTCTCTCTCTCTCTCTCTCTCTCTGTGCGTTGGGGATGAAGAGAGTTAGGTGGTTGGGTTGGTGATGCGTTTCTGACGGAGTCGACTCGGTATATATGGTTGCGACTCAGTGCGGGTGCGTGTGACGACCGAGTTGCGTTTCTTCTTCTTCTTCTTCTTGTTCTTCCTTTTTGTGTGTGAAAAAGTGTGAAACTTCTGAAACTCATGGGAGCGCCGTGTCGCCACGCGTTTGCTGGCTCACCGTACCTTCACGCTCTCCTTATTTTTCCCAATCCTCCTGTAACCCTAGTCTTACAACTTGTCACGAAAATATAATTGAGTCCTACAATTTATAAAAAATATAATCAAATCTTCAAATTTATCAAATTGATGTAATTAAGTCCTTTCGTTAACACCGTCCGAAATTAGCTGACGCAAAATACTGATGTGGCTTCTTCTTCTTCTTTTTTTCTCTATTATACGTGGCTAAAGCGATTTTGTTTTTGTCCTGTTCTATGGGTTTAATATGGATGTTAAATGGGTTCACAGCTTATTGAAACCCAATCCGCCGTTATAACTCTTTTTTTGCTCTCTTTTGATTTCGTGCTCGTTCACTTTGTGCTTTCACCTTAATCTGATTATGCACTTTCGTAGATTGGGTTAAATATAGAAATGTTGTAGCAATATGAGTAGATTCGGGTATTGATGAGATCGGGTCTGAGTCATTACATTTATATTACATGAAAATGGGTCAAAACGGATTAAATGGGTCGATTTGGGTTTGGACCATTTTTGCCCAAACTCAACCCACCTGTTTGACAAGTGTACCTATAACTCATCAACTTAATATCTTGACGGTTTCGGAATTGAGTTTCCACTATAGCTCGGCCTTGCGGGATCGCGACCCTTTGTTCCAGCCATTGTAGCACGTGGGTAGCCCAGGGCATAAGGGGATGATTACACAAGTGAAGACATGGGGCTTCCATGGTGAGTCCCAAACACCCTTTTCTGATTAATCCCTTCGGCTTCAAATCCAATTAATCAGGCATGGCGTGGAAGAAGTTTTTGCTCTCGACGATTTACGCCGTGGAAATGATAAACACGAGTCGGAACTCGCCAACACATATATAGCATGTAGAGAATTTCTCAATTTTCTGTATTTCTAAAACGATGCACGTGAACGTTTTGATAGAACAGAGCAAGTAAATGTTGTTGCAACCCTAATCTAGGAATTACTAAATGATTTATAAATTAAATACTAAATAATAATAAAAAATTGAAGAAATAACCTAGAAATTAAAAAAGGGCAAAAAGTAATGCTAAAAAATATTCGAAAATATTTGTTTTGGTCGAAAGAAAATTTCATTCATTTGTCATGATTAAACATGAGAGGAACGTAGCAACCTTCCAAACAAAGCAAATCCCAAAAGACTTACAAAACAAAACCCATTTAATAAAAGAGTACAGTAGCTATAAGCAAGTTTTCATTCCAAAAGACCAAATCCATCGGAGCATAAAAAAAAAAATTTGGTGGCTCATCAACGAGAGCGTCGGTGATGGGCACATGCCGAGATCTTCCTCTCCATAAACTACAGCTTGCAACTCAATGTCATCACCATACGAAGACAAAAACAGCAACAACAACAACAACAACATGTTTAACCTTCGCAGATGGAACACCTCTAAGAAATTCCTAGATCTAAATATAGATCGTGAGAGAAAAGCTCCTAAATTTAGATCTACACCTAAATCGGGAGAGTAGAGCTTCCATCAAATCTCGAAGGTGTCATAGAACCATGTTTCGGGCATCCTGCCGGTTGGACTAGTGAGAATATTCTCACAAAATTTTCAATTGCAAGCAAATTTATTAATCATGAATAGTGAAGAAAAGCAAAAGAGACGAGCGAAAGAAGATGCCAAAGGAGACGAAAAATTACTCCCAAATCAGGTCGGAAGAGAAAAGAAACACGAAAACGGGGCCTAGAAAAGAAAACATGAGCAAAGCAGGCTCTCAACTTCAAAAATTGAAGCGGAGAGCTTACATTTGAAGTTTCTTTGAGGGAGGATTTTTTTGGAAGAGAGAGGGTTGCCGATAGAGGGATTAGGGTTTATCGGGAAAATACCATTCTAAACAAGCTCTTCGAATTGGCAATTCCCTCCTCCCACATCATTAGTTATGGCCAAATGACGTGCTAATTCTTGTCCCAAGCCAATCTTTCGGATTTCTACTTGTTCAAACGCTCTAGAAAATCTTTAGCAGCCACGTCCATATCGACGGTAAAGACCACAATTTTAAACATATCTTTTTGGCCATATGCAACTAGACATTTAGCGTAACAATCTCCAAGACACAGCGCTCGTGTTGTTAACATCAAAACTCTAGTAGGCTTTTAACAAGTTATCCAAAATCAATCACGGTTGGAGCAGGATGAACGTTGATTAGAAAGCTCAGATTAATCCAAGGATTTTAATCGGATAATTATAAAATACAAGAACGCGACCGGGGAAAACCGCGTAAAACTGGAATACGACCCTAATAATTATCAACCAACAAATTGCATTTTGTTAATCATGTGACGCAACATGAAAAGTTACGATAAGTTCAAATTTTGAACAAATCAAACCTAGGATTGGGTCCCGTTGGCCCCCTTGACTCGTGGCGATGTAATGCCATCGAGTCGAGATTTGAAAATTTTGAAACGGGATGGCCCTCGGATTTGATTTTTGACGTCGTTTTCAGGAGGGATTAGCTGTCCAAATTCCAAAGCGCCTCCCTATAATTGTGTCGGGAATAAAATTATCTTCAGATGTTCGACCCACCAACGACATCGAGTACCTTGTTCTTATTTTTTTTTTTTTAATTAGTTGGCTAATTATTGAATTGAAAGGCATCGACCGGTGAATTGCACATCTTCATCCACCCAACCGTCAAGTTTTTCTTCTTTTTAATTTCTTTTCTTGTTTGATGAGGAGGGATTGCCCAAGCTCCTAGCGAATGAATTTCAGAATAATTGTCCAATAAGTCCTAAACTTATTATGCTACATCTAATTCAATCAAAATTCTTTCAATCATGTGTCAATTTAGTCCTAAACATTTCTTTGTATCAATTTAGTCATAAATCTTATGAAAATTTGCCAATTTAATCATAAACCAATTAATTAGATATTTGGCTGAAAAGACTACATTGTCAAGTTGTAAAAAGGTTTTATGACTAAATTGGCAAATCATCAAAAGATTTAGGACCAAAGTGGCATAATTGAAAGTTTTATGACTATATTGGCAAATTGTCAAAAGGTTTATGACTAAATTGACACAATTGAAATGTTTATGATTAAATTGATCTCAATACAATATATTTAAGACTTTTTGAGCAATTTTCCCAATGAAGTCTCCTTTCCCATATTTACACAAACAAAACAAAACTAAGGCTGTGTTCGTTTGCGGAAAAATATTTTTCCGGAAAATATTTTTCGCGTTTTCCGGTGTTCGGGGGCGGAAAATGTTTTCCCACGGAAAACATTTTCCTTCCCCACCCCCAAATCCTTCATTGTTTTGAGGAAAATGATTTCCTCTTTTCACAAAAAGGAAATCATTTTCCCCCAAATTGAAGGCAAAATTACCCATGGGAGGGAAAATATTTTCCGTGGGAGAGGAAGTTGATCGCCGGTCACCACCGTTGGTCGCCGGTCGCCGGCCGCCGTCGGCCGCCCGCCGCCGCCGCCGCCGATCGCCGATGAAAAATATTTTCCGAAACTTTTTCATATTGGTCGCCGAACACCGGAAAATTATGTTCCGGGAAAACATTTTCCAGGAAAATGACTACCGGGAAAATATTTTCCAAAAGGAGAATATTTTCCGCTAAATGAACGGAGCCTAAAATGGAAATTTTAATTTCATGGATTTTGAATATAGAATACGACGTGTTTCTTTTCCCGATATCGAATTCTTCTTGTACCCTCCTACTTTCCACGATATACCTCCGGCTCTCTCTAATTCCACTTTCCTCTTAGGAATACGTACGCACACACATCGAAGAATTCAACACCCTTCATATACAATGAAATTCAATGTGCACCTCTACTTTCAGAAGTTGCGCATCTCCTCCATCTATTCACGAAACCCTCTACTCTCCAGCAGTAAAATTTAATGGACGACTCATAACTTTTCGGACCCTGCCGAACATTGTGCATTCCAGGACCTACACATCTCGAAAGAAAAAAAAAACATTATCGGACTATGATTGGCTAAGATGTAATTAAGAAACTAATCATGCGCATTCGAGGCGGCAATGTTACTAAACAAATGAGGAAAACACAAGGTGTAGAATTGAGGTTTCATGGTCAACGAAAGCACACTACGTACGAATTTTCTATCTTCGTACACTTTGCGTGTTGAACGGCGATTGACTGCAACAGGATGGGGTCTTCTTCAAGCCGACAGGAAGTTTTGGACTCCGCCCCTTTAGCGGCACCTAAACTTTTCTTGTCCGAAATTTGACTCCACGAGAAAGGGCCAAGAACAGAGAGCAATCGCGTTTAAACATTACCAGAGTTCAAAACGACTAAGTAAACAATTTGAAGGTCATCATTAGCATTTGATATTGATATGTGGCAGGTGGAAATCACGCGACATCCCGCGCCAATGGAAAACAACCGAAAACCTCGTTGCGAAGTCTTCACGCGGTGGCCCGAAAGGACAAAAGGTCCGTCATTCGTGGCGGTCCTGAAAAGTCCTCCTTTCATACCTTAACGAAGATTGCGAAGTCGGGTTAGGCGAAACAAGTTTTTGTTCATTCTCAGTCCCGAACTCACAAGCAATGCGACCAAAATTACCCGACTAAAATAACGAATTTATTGAATGAAAAGTAGTCAAATGAAAGTGCTCACCAATTACAAGGTAGAGTATGAAATTTATGGGCAACCCCAGTGGCCACCTGGGGAAGGTGGGGAGTTCGAATCTCCACCTTCTCAGGGGGGATCGGGGATGGGGATGGGGACGGGGACGTTTAGTTTCAAGTATGGAATTCGACTCTCACGCTCTATAAAAAGGTAGGGCAAAAGTCCGAGAGTGGATTAAGAGTTAGAATAGGAGAAAACAAAAAAAAAAATCTATGGGCCTTGACTACCCAGTCTACTACTCAATTTGCCTCTCGTTTGCGGTGGGCTAGCTCTAAATTTGCAAAGGAGCCCATGGACCGCCAGGCCTCTAATATCGGTGATTGTACTTCCCACTGTGCTTGAAGAGAGTTAGACACCGCTTCTGCCAACTCTGAACAATCCGACACCACTTCGAGTGCTTCACTTCTTCTGGCCGCAAGGAGAGAGAGAGCTTCGACGAGGGCTAGGGTTTCGACGTGGAGGGAATGTTCACCGGGAGTGCGAAAGAAGTCATCGCCTAGGCAAATGAAAGTTCGGGAGACTTCCTCGCTCCGTCGACGGCGAGCGGTGCACCGATAATCGGAAATGCCTCCCTATCAAGAGAGGCGGGCTCGGAGAAAACTTCAGGCCCCATCGAATTGGACTGAGGCATTGTGTATTGGGTAGAATGGGAAAGCCCAAGATAGGGTTTCAAGGACCAGACCAGACAGCCTTAATCATATACGGTGTATACGTACTAAAATGGGCTGGCCCAACCTTGGTTGTCTTTTAGATTCCACTTCGATTACGTGGACTCTTGTGATTAGTTACTTATATTTAGGCGCACAATAAAATCAAGGGTTGGTTTGTCCGAAGGAAAACTGTTTATAGGAAATTGTTTTCCGACTTTTCGGTATTTGAATGATGGAAAACTAATCAATCTACGAAAAAAGTTTTTCATAAACTGAAAACAACAAGTTTGAAAAGGGGAAAACGCCTTCCCCTTTGACAAGAAGAACAATGACTTTCCCTATACCGCCGTATAAATGAAAACTAATCATTTTCCTAAAAAATGATTCTCATAAAAGAAATTTTCCTTTATCATGAAATTTTCGATAAAACAAATGCACCCCGAATGTCTTTGAATCCCTTGTCTGAATAAGTGTGGATACGGGGGTATGTTTAGTAGCTTTTATATGTAGGTATACAGTAATCGAAAGCAGTTAACACTTAATTTGGACACGTCCCGTCATGGATCGAGTGAATTTCAACTGACATAACATCGGCCACGGAGATTCGCCCGGTCGTGATGGATGTTGGTCTTAGGTAGTAATTTGCTCCAGATAAGGGGACCGATGAGGCAAGCGGGGCGATGCATTGTTACATTAGATTTCCTCTTATTGAAATACTTCTATTTGTGACGAGACTAATCACGAATAACCTAAATGAAACATTCTAGCTATCGGGAAGTTTATTTAGAGATTTCTCATCAACGTATCATCTTGGACACCTTAATTAAAATTCAACATAAATATGTAATTCCGGCCACGGAGCCAAGGAGGGGCATTTGATGTTGAAGAATTGCACTTACTCTATTCTCTCAAGAATTTTAGATATTTCTAAGTTACCTAAGGCTCCGTATGTTTTGCGGAAAAAAAAAGTTGATATTAAATTACAGAAATTTGGGATTGAATTAAAGTCAGTTGTGCTACAAATCTCACCCTCCCCCGAGCTAGATTTCTGGCTCCATCGCCGTGTAATTCAGCCTCTAAATCTATCTATTTATGTCGAGGAGGAACCAAAGTTCCTATGTATTTGGGTCGAGCCTTAGCCATTTGGCAACCCGTCCTCTAAATCTATGATGGGTTGAGTCCCGACCGTCGATACCTCGACTCTAGCCTTTCTCTTCCACCATGATCTTCATCTAGAAGTATTTTCCAGAGTTTCTTAAATTTATCAAACGCGAGTCACTGTACACTCAATCTCGAAATAAAAAGAAAAAACATTCATCTTTGTCCAAAATCGAAAGCAAAATCAATTTAACAAGTCATATATAAGACACGCATGCTTAAATCATTGGTAGAACAAGGGTGATGCTAAAGCAACCCAATATTTTTTATTTTCCCTTTGTCTTGTGAATATGGAGAAGGGAAAGAAAAATCAACACGTGAGCTCAAAAGATAAATTTTTTTCCCATGCAGCGCACGACTTCAGACTTCTAGAGGCATAGCTAAAGGTTTGACCAGGCTTATGTGGGAGAGATGCGATCGATAATGGTGGAGGGTTTCTCTTATCATGTCTTGTCTTCTTTTGTTTTCTTCTGTAATTACTAATGAAATGGAGTCAACCGGCAACGTTGTCTCCCCATCAATGCAGTCGACCCAACAGAATCATCGACATAATATTGTCGATGTTTAGTCAATGGACCGATAGCGTGTGCCTAGGAAGAGGTAGCCCCAATTTTGATATAGATCACAAGCTAGTTTCTCAAATTCTGAGTTAGCTAATATGAGCTTATAAAATCAAAATGTATGGCCATGACAACATTATCATCGAGATTCTCGTTTAAAATAGCCGTTGAGACTCTGTGATTTATTCAACTCGATGTCATCTGCTTGAACCTTATAACCCTCCTTTCCGTCAATCTTTATCATGCCCATTATTTCTTATGCTTTACTTATCTTTCCGTTCTTTGTATATCTCATCATGCATTCCTGCGTCTTTCAGATGTAGATGAATCGGCTTATACACGAGAAAAGTGTTAAAGAGACTGTTTAAACTTAAATAAGAAGAACTGTTTGTCTAGCATACAAATTCATCTCGACAGTCAACTTCATGCGTGTACACGAAAGGAGGCAGGCTGGGGATAAATATAGATAAACTTAACGTTCAAGCAAGTTTTTGTTTGAACAAGGACTGCAACATGTGCCACGCCTTAGTTTTATCTCAAATAATAGTCAGAAGTCTATGTCCAGCTGCAGACAGAGATGAGGGAGAGATGAGAATCAGCACCAGCATTGCCGGTTAAGCTATTCCTAAGAGAAATCTTTAATGCACAGACCGACCCAAGAAGGACAAAAAGAAATGGAACCCTAGACCTAATGGACAGCTTCTAATGACTGGCTGGTTTTATATTTTTAATCGCAACCCATTATTGCAATGACCTGAGGCAAGTGCCAGGTGACTTCCGGACACGTGAAAGGAGATTGAGTTGATGGGTCGATATTGTGCAATTGGCCATCTTCTGCGATTCTCGAGATACGAGAAACATAGACTTTGATTTGTTTAGTGCCGTGTTTGCACACGAATTATATGTAATCTAATACAGTAGTCGCATGAAATTGCGTGGCTCGAAAGAAGCATCCAGAAAAGAAGAGAACCATCTTGGGAGGCATGTACTCAGCCGGATGTTGGCGTCCACAGTTCATTTTATGGGATCATCGCAATTTTCCATCATTGTAGAGTTGTTCTTCAGGTGTCGGCCCTCCTGTGCCCTAACGGCCCCAAAGCATGATTTATAATTAGCTTCCGTTTCACGGGGATCGGTTTGTTTTGATAAAAATGAATGATTTGAAATATATTTACCGAAATGATCGCCTGTATCACTTATATATATTAGTCAATATAATAATAATTACACACCCTTTGAAAGTTCTAGATCTCTATTTTTTCTATACTCGAGGTCTAGTGCTACGTGATTTGTTTTCTGAAGTTCATGAGTGTGGTGTCAGAAGTTAAAATCGCCCCATGACGGATTTTGTGGCAATTACAGAACAGCAAACCTTGTCCATCTTAGAGATTGCCCCAAGATAGGGGATTCAAGGACTTCCGACACACCCGAGAGCTTTTGCGAATCCAAATTAAACCTAAATTTCCACACGGCTTAGAGACCCATAATCGCAATCTAGATGCCAATTGAGCTAAACCCTAGAGATATTGCGCCAATTTATTGACTCACATTAGCATTTAGATTTTAACTTCATAAGTTAATGTCGCAAAATTTGATTCCACAAACAAAGTTAGGACAACAGATTTGATGGAATTTGAAGACTGTCCAAGAACTTGCGGTTTTTTTTATCGGACCCCTATGGGTGTCATTATTTCTTATTACGTGATTGGTTTAGTTTATCGATACAATAACGTATTGATCCTATGACTTGATAAGCCGAGTAACATTGTCCGATATCGCTTACTCAAGTATTAGATGAGACTCTCATTTGTGTATCAGGACAAATCGAACTCACAATTTCTATTCTTGATGAAGTAATCCATAAGCATGACACCATCTAGAAATGAATAAATGGGTCGAGCATAACGTTACCGACTTAATAAGAGCATAAACTAATACGACCATAAATGAGGGGAGGTCGGTCAAAAGGGCAGGCAGGCAGTCACGTGACCGCTTTTTTTAAAATTTATTTCCGACATTTTGCCCCCAAATGAATAAACAAAAAATTAAAAGCACGACAGAATAAACGTTGACTTTGAATGGAGCTTCCAAGGAAGGTCCTCCCTCTCTCTCTCTAAACTTGCTTCCAAGGAAGGTCCTCTCTCTCTCTCTAAAATTGCTTATATAAACCATGCAACTCCACGATGCCTTTCACCTTCACATGCACAGAGTCTGAAACCAGCTCACGCACACAAACAAACGTAAACATGGCCAAAGCAAATCCATCTCTCTCCTTCCTCTTCCTCCTCCACGCCCTCTTCTTCACAACCCTCCTCGAACCGTCGAGCTCGCAGCCAGCGGCGGCTCCCAACACGGACTTCATCAAGTCCTCCTGCAGGTCCACCCGCTACCAGGCGCTCTGCGTCCAGTGCCTCTCCGGCTACGCCGCCTCCGTCCAGCAGGACCCCCGCCAGCTCGCCCGGACCGCGCTCCAGGTCAGCCTTGACCGGGCCCGCGCCACCTCGTCCTATGTGGGGCAGCTGTCCCGGTTCCAGGGCATCACGCCCCGGGAGTCCCAGGCCGTGCGGGACTGCGTCCAGAACGTGGGCGACAGCGTGAGCTGGTTGAGCCAGTCGATAGACGAGCTCGGCCAGATGGCAAGCCAGGCAGCCACGGCGGCAGAGGCGTACGACTGGCACATGAGCAACGTGCAGACGTGGGTGAGCGGCGCCCTCACCGACGAGAACATGTGCCTCGATGGGTTTGCAAGGCTGGGCATGGACGGGAGGGTGAAGAGCTCGGTGAGGGGGCAGGTGGTGGAGCTGGGGCAGGTGCTGAGCAACGCCCTGGCCCTCGTGAACAGGTTCGGGTCGAGGCACCGTGGGGCCAAAGGGCAGCCCTAGATCTGGGAATCACGGTGGGAAGCCATGGTCAGGGTCGAGACTGAAAGAATGATAGTTCTGAGATAGGGTGTAAATGGTGATGAGAAAGACAGTGTTTAGATATGAAAACATATGTAGGAACGTGAGTTCTGCTGTTGCTGTCCCATGTTTAATTTTCTGGATGTAAGAAAGTTTTGTGAAATATGTGAATGCAAGAAAAATGATGTTTGCTCTCACGCCTGTTTCTCTCTAAGGAAGAACACTCCCGTCACAAAGCAATGTGACTAAAATTCACCCAAACATACACCATAATTAGCAGGAATGATGCATTAAATCTCCAGCAAGTTTGAGTTTCTATGTTAATGCCATACCAACATAAATCTAGTTTTCCATGTACTTAAAAACACAAGTTTTTATGAAATAAATCCAAATGACCATGTCGACTAAACATTGTAACTCAGCTTCTAAATTCGATTCCCTTCCTTCATGAATACGATTAACGTAAGATGTAAACTTCAAACAATTTTCTTTTTCTACATACGTGCGGTTAATCACATTTCGACCGGATGTTGCATTTTCAATAATTAGGTTTTGTTGCGTTATTGTAAATTGATTAAGGTGGTATCACTGAACACTTACCAAAATTCGGGATTGAAAATTAAAGCGAGTTGTGCTAGAAATGCCGCCCCTCCTAAGCCAGATTTCTGGCTCTGTCGCTACATAATTCAGCCTTTGATCTATGTGCATATATGTCAAGGAGGAACCAAAGTTCCTATCAATTTGGGTCAAGCCATTGCCATTCGACTTCGACGACCCCTTCCTCTAGATCTGTGATGGATACAAGTGATTGCCGAGACCTAGACCCTAATCCTTCAATTCCGCCATAATCTTCATCTAGGAGTACTTGATGTTCGAGATTTTCTCAAATTTATCAAACAAAAAGGTAAATTTAACCTTGCTTCAAAATCGAAATCAAATCAATGTAGCAAGTCATAATGAACGCATGCCTGAATCATTGGTAGAACATGGGTGATGCTGAAGTAACAAAAGATTTTAATTTCCCCATTGTCTTTTGAATAAAAATCAGCGCCCCGCAACCCACCCCACCACCCCCCCGCCCAATGCAGGACTTCAGACTTCTAGAGGCGCAGCTAAGAGTTTGACTAGACTTGGCTTATGTGGGAGATACGATCGCTAATGGTGGATTTTTTTCTTAATTGTGTTTTGATTTCTTTTCTTTTCTTTTTCTTTTTATAAATTCTAATAAAATGGAGTCAACCGGCAACCTTGTCTCCCCGTTAATGCAATCGACCCAACAAAAATCATCAACGATATTATGTTTAGTCAATGGACCGATAGCATGTCCCTAGGAAGACGTAGCCCTAATTTTAATATAGATCACTTAGCTAGTTTTTCAAATTTTAAGTTAGCTAATATGAGCTTATAAAATCAAAATATTTAGCCATGACACTATATCAATAGGATTCACCACCCCGTCCTCGTTGTCATGTAAAAATGGCTGTCGGGTCTTGCGAGTTAATTTCAAACATCCTTTTTCTTTGGTGATCGACAAAAACATGCTATTCGCACATTATAACCCTGTTTATGAACAGTTTAAATATTTTGAGAAAAGTGATTTATCTAACATGATACCATCAGCCCGAACCCTAACAGTCTCTTCCATCGATCCTTATTGTGCCTGTCATTTTCCGTCCTTTTTATTTGTTCGTTCTTTGGATATCTCGTCGTACGTAAATGGATCGACTTACACGCGAAAAGTGTCGAAAGAACCTTCAAACGTAACATTTTCATTGTTTCCTTACCAAAAAAAAAAACGTAACATTGATGAGAAGCTAAGTTGACCTTGATCATATAATTCCATGATTTATTAATGACTTGTGGGTACGAATTAATCTCGACAGTCATCTTCATACGTGTGTATACGAAAGTAGGCAGTTTTGGATAACCTTAGAGAAACTTAAAATTCAAGGCAATTCTAGGTTTGAACAAGGGTTGGATGATATGCCACGCCTTAGCTCAAGTTGTGTAATCCCACTTTTTCTTTACAGAAACAAGGGACGGACTAGAATCAGCACCGGCATTGCTGGTTAAGGTGCTGGTTAAGCTATACTTCTGAGACGAAATCTTTTAATGCACAACAGACCCACGAGGACAGAAGGAAATGGAACCCTAGACCCAATGAACAGCTTCTGATAACTGGCTGGTTCTTATTATATTTGCTCTGAGGCAAGTGCTGGGTGACTTCCTGACACGAGAAACAAGTTTGAATTGATGGGTTGACATTGTGTTGCGCAACTGGCTGGCCGTGTGGTCTGCGGTTCTTGAGAAACGAGAAAGGTGGACTTGTGATTGTTTAATGCTGTGTTTGTACACGAATCGCTTATAAATAATCTATGGCGGTAGTGGCACGAAAGTGAGTGACAAGGAAGAAGCGTCCAGAAAGAAGAGAACCATCTCGGGAGGCAGGCTTGTACTCAGCTGGTTGGCGTCGCCAGTCCATTCATATGATTATTGTAAAATTTATCATTCTAGGGTTGTTCCTCCGGTGTCGGCCCTCCTGTATCCAACTGTCCTAGAACACAGACTTATAATTAGTTGTTATTCCGCTTAGGATTTGTTTGTTTCTTTGAGAACGAATGTCAAATTGTTAGGATGTACATGTGAGTTATGTTAAAAAAATCTCTCATCAGAGAATTAATGTGATGTAGAACAGTTAATATACCCCAATTGACGTATAATTCACTAACTTAAGCTTTTGAGTGAGGTGGGTTCAACTGGATATCGGTTGAAAAAATTAGTTAGCGAAAGATATGTTCTTTATCAATAACGATATATTGATGTTTAAAAGACTTAATCATATGTACTGTTTCGAATATATAGCTCTCTATAGTCTCTATGCTCGGGGTCATGACCAAGCTAAAATTCGAGAAACCCACGCTACTATTTTGGCATTCGTGTCTCTAGACCCACTTTTTCTTTGGCTCTCTTTTGGTATGAAATTTGAATTAAACCTTGTATGTATGTCCCTGCTTAGATGTATAGTCAACTCTATTTGCACATTTAGGACATTAATTTCTCGACCGACATTAGGCTCTTGCGTGATTTGTATTTGAAGACCATTAGTGTTCTGCCAAAAGTAAATCGCCTCATGACGGATTCTGTGGCGATTGTAAAACAACAAAGCCTCCAAGATTGGGGATTTAAGGACTTAACACAAACTCAAGAGATAATGCCCAATCCGAATTAAACCCTAAAAATTTCCACACTTCTTAAGACCCAAAATCGCAGTCAAGATGCCAATTTAGCTAACCCCTCATGATATTAAACCAATTCATCGACTTGTTGGGAAAAGTACCAAAAAAATCTTAAACCTATTGCATTGGTATCAATTCAGTCATAAACTTTTCAATTTGATCAATTTAGTCTTAGACCTTTTTACATTAGTATCAATCGAGTCCATCAGGCAAATTTAGACTAGAAATCATGAACGCTGACTATCCTACATGGCATTGTTGGCATTAACGTAGACATATTTTATAATTTTTTTTTTTTCCTTTCTCTTCTTCCATGGTGCTGACACAGGCCATGGCCGGTAAAGGCTGGCTCCCCTAAGCGAGGGTCGCCCTCACCACCACAAGCAAGGTGAGCACCAATGAGATCGCCCTTGCTAGATATAGCGAGGCCAACCCTCACCCAGGCCAACGCTGCCTCGCTGGGCATCGCCTGGGTGAGGGTTGGCCTCATGCGAGGGCGAGATAATCTACGCATGATATCTTAGAGAGAAATGAAGTCGAAAGGGGTCAATAACATGGTGCCGACTTGAGAACATAAACAAATGCAGCCATAAATGAAGGGAGCTCAATAGGGCAGGCAGGCATTCACGTGACTGAATTTTTTATTACTAAATAAGTTAAAATGAAAAGTACGACAGAGATAAACATTGACTTTGAGTGGAGCTTCCGAGGAAGGTCCTCTCTCTTTCTCTCTCTGCAAACTTCCTTATATAAACCATGCACTCCACGATGCTTTTCACCTTCACATGCACACGGTCTGAACCAGCTCTCTCTCTCTCACACACACACACACAAACATAAACATGGCCAAAGCACTATTATCTCTCTCCTTCCTCATCCTCCTCCACGCCCTCTTCTTCACGACGCTCCTCAAACCGTCGAACTCACAGCCTGCGACTGATGCGAACACGGACTTCATCGAGTCCTCATGCAAGTCCACGCACTACCAGGCGCTCTGCATCCAGTGCCTCTCCGGCTACGCCTCCTCCGTCCAGCAGGACCCCCGCCTGCTCGCCCGGGCCGCGCTCCAGGTCAGCCTCGACCGGGCCCGCGACGCCTCGTCCTACGTTGCACGGCTGTCCCAGTTCCAGGGCATCACGCCCCGGGAGTCCCAGGCCGTGCGGGACTGCGTGCAGAACGTGGGCGACAGCGTGAGCCGGTTGAGCCAGTCCATCGACGAGCTCGGCCAGATGGGAGGCCAGGCGGCCACGGGGGACGCGTTCGAATGGCACATGAGCAACGTGCAGACGTGGGTGAGCGGGGCCCTTACCGACGAGAACATGTGCCTCGATGGGTTCTCGAGGCCGGACATGGATGGGAGCGTGAAGACTTCGGTGAGGGGGCAGGTGGAGGAGCTGGGGCAGGTGGTGAGCAACGCGCTGGCCCTGGTGGACAGGTTCGGGTCGAGGCGCCGCGGGGCCAAAGCACAGCCGTAGCTCCGGGTCATCACGGCAGGAAGCCAAGGTCAGGGTTGAGGCTGAAAGAACACGTTGGTTTGTTGTAAATGGCGATGAGAAAGGAAGGTGGTTACTAGATGTATAACATATGTAGGAACTTGAGTTCTGCTGTCGCATGTTAAGCTTTTCGAATGTTAAGAAGTTCTGTGAAATATGTGAATGTAAGAAAAAGTGACGGTTCCTCTCGCTCTGTGTTTCTCTCTTTTGGGGAAGAAGACTCCCCGCGAAACCCTAGTATTGGCAGCTTGGCTGTGTGTGGGACTGTTTAGACCCGATCGTGACCCGGTCAGGCCCACTAAGCTCTAACAACAAACTGAGGCAGGTATTAGACCCGATTATGACCCGGTTAGGCCCACTTAGTCTGGTTCACGTCAATGTAAAATTTCAAGCCTGATATCTGACCCCGTATATTACGTTATCTCTAGTCAACGAAAAAGTGTTAATGAGCGCGTTA